TAGGATTCAATTTTCCATTTTATCATAAAAGGCTTATATCTATGTTGTTGCCTGATATTTAACCACTGATGGAAAATTCATTTTACTAAAGACAGTTTTGGACATGACTTCTTGAACTTAGATGAACCCTGCTTCTAGCGGTTTTTTGCTACATTCGCATTTGTCTGTGTACAAAGCTTTATCCTTAGCTCAACAGCGTTAAAGCCACAGCTCAAATATGAAACCCAAGACGGTGTTACCTTCGGTTTAGCCACAGTTTGCTTTCGTGGTATATACTTTGTTTTGCCTCGTTTTCGAAACTTTGTCGTGTTCTCAATCAGCAGCCTGATGCTAGAAAGCAATAACACATGATGCCTTACAGGCTACCTTCTATAAAATCTTCACGATAATATGACTAAGTTGTTAGCCCAAGGTTAACTCAATTCTGTATAAAATCCAATTAAAAGCCACAAAATTCCAGAAAATATTTTACTCATGAGGTCTATACACTTAATTTAGCTTGGAATTTTGGATTATTCTATTTGTATTACTTTTTATTTTGCTCCTAGCATCTTACTTAAATATTGACTCAAATTCTTACTTACTTACTAAGGCTACCATACAACTTCTTTGTTATTTTTTTATCTCTAGAATTGGCAAATTCCTTGTTCAGTTTGTTTAGTTACATGTTAAGTGCTAAATGGACCCTAAACATTACATTTTATTTGTAGTATTTGAATTGCCCATATTATAGATATTCTCTTTGATTATTTTATTGTAGTCTTCAATACATGGTAAGTTTCTGGCTTTCTATTTGTTCAATGTTGTGGTTGTGCTTTATTTTATTTTATTTATTTATTTGTTTGTTACCGAGGAACCCTTTCTTGTTCTGCTAATCTTTATAGTCAAGCTCTTTATCCACAAACAGTTTTATTGTTTGCCATTTATTTGGATTTTTATCTTATTTTAATCTACATGCAAGCTATTTTATGTTTACTCTTCCTCCTCGTCAGTCAATGTTTTTGTAACTCCTTTCTTCCTGAATAGTTTATTGGCGGATCCGAATTTTTTCTTTATTGGAATGCAAATCCATGCGACTTGTATGTCAATAAGTACTAATTCCTGATTCATTTAATATGCTTAATCTTTATGCTTTGCTTCTGCTATTTTTTTCTCATTACTTACTTCAGTAATTAAAGTTAAATTCTCGGCTAGAAATCGATTTTATTATATTTTATATTCTCTTACTATTGACCTCTTATGCTCCTAGATTCATCTATTCTCACCTGGTCCTATTTTTGATTTGCTTGAGCGATTTAACGCTAACTTCGAATTTGTCTGTTTACTAACCTTTATCCTCGGCCCATCATGGCATTGTAGAAGACTGCCTTTCATTTCTCCTTATTTTTTATCCAACCATGATTTATTCATAATATTATCAAGATGTGACCTTAACATAATGCACTTATGTTTATTACATTCAATGCTCTCTCTTTCTCAATGCACTATCAGCCAAATTTTCGATAAGCCATCTAGATTTCAGACAAATAAATACAGTTGGTATATTTTAAATAGAAAAATAGGTATATTTGATTGCTATTTACGTACTAACTTGTATAAAATTACAATTTTGCATTAGAATTTTAAGCTTCCAGACGTTATAAAAGCTTGAAAGCGGAATTCCTAGGCGGACATGACATCTATACCCAACCTTGTAATGAACTACGTTTTTATAAGATGCTGCCTTAACGTACGATTTTTTTTCTATATTTCTTCTACTCGTAGAAATGAATTCCGGTTATTCATCATACAGGAAAATTTTAAGCATAATTGGGTTGATTATTTCCTATAATCGCTATACTGGTTTTCCCAATAAAAGACTGTTTAATGACCATAAGAAATTCAAGATGGAATGTATTTTGAAAATCCCTCAAAACCCTATTTTAATACGTCAGCCTAAAATGCTATAACACATCTCATTTTCTCTCGCTTTTTCATTATGTGAGATATATTTGCCTATTATTAGTATATATTTTTATTTCCAAATTGACCTGCTAAGCAAGCAGTTCACTTAATTTAATTATTGAATATATCTGGTCATGGTTGAGGCCTGCTTTATAAATGCAGTACTATAGTGTAAA